TCTCTAGTGTAAAGAACGCTGCAATGGAGAAAGGAGGGCACACGTCTCCTTGAATTAGTGTTTTCATTTACTTCAAATAAATACCCAGAAGTGTAACTGCTGGATCGCACAGTCATTCTATTTAATTTTTTGATCCACCTCCAAATTGTTTTATATATTGGCTGTACCATTTCACTCTCTTACCGACAATGAACAAGGGCTCCCTTTTCTCCACATTCTCACCAGTAACAAAAGTTGCTGTTTCTTGTATTTGGTCATGGCCATGCTGACAGGTGAGTTGATCCTACTGTGGCTGACATGCATTTCCCTGATTTTAGTGTCTTTCCGTTGTGCCTGCTGGCCATCAATGTATTTTCTTTGGAAAAGTCTAATCAGATCCTTTGCCTCTTTAAGTAAAAAAAGTCATCAAGTTGATGAATTCTTTCTTTATTCTGGACATTATGCCCATACCAGACACATAAGTTGGGAATATTTTCTCCTATTCACTAGTTGTCTTCTCATTTTGTTTATTTTTTGCACTTATTTCCCTTGTTGGTGTCAGGTTAAAACAACAACAAAAAAAACATTGCGAAGACCTATGTCAAGGAGCTTATTGCCTATGTGTTTTCTTACTGGCATTTTGTGGCTTCAGGTACATTCAAGCTTTTAAATACATGTTTTAATTTCTTGTGTGTAGTATAAGAGATGGTCCAGTTGCATTTGTTCACATGTGATAGTTTTGCCAACAACATTTCGCGAAGAGGTTGTCCTTCCTCTATTTTATATTCTTGCCTCCTCTGTCATAAGTTGATGATATATGTGTGGGCTTATTTCTGGACTTTCTATTTTGCCCTATAGATCTGTGTCTGGCTTTTAAAAATGCTTATCTGACTGGTTTGATAACTATTTGTAATATAGTTAAAAATCATAAAGTGCAATTTCCAGATTGCTTTTGCTCTCTGGGATCTTTTGTGGTTCCATGTAAATTTTAGGATTGTTTGGTGTCTGGAAAATTCCATTGGAGTTGAGATAGGGATTTTACTTGATGTAATTGACTCTGAAATTGCTGTGGAAAAGATTTTTTTTGAAGATTATTTATGCCTACAGAACTGGGGTACAGGCCAGAGATGCAGGGGCAGTGACAAGATTCACCAGAGATAGAGTGAGGAGCAGAACAGGCCGACTGACAAAGAACACTGCTGAGGGGAGCAGTGGGTGGGTCAGGAAAGGTTTGCGGTGTCGTGTGGATCACTTCCGGGGTGGGGATCGAAATAATGCTTAAGTGGCTTTAGCTTCTTAGTGCTGTGCTTTAACCTGCTGCTCAACCAGGGAGGGCCCCAATTATGGACATTTTAACAATATCCTTCCAATCTATAAGCATGGAATATCTTTGTACTGCTTTTTCAACTTCTTTGAATAATACCTTATAGTTTTTGTGTATTAGGATCTTTCAGTCCCTTGTTAAATTCTAAGGCATTTCATTCTTTTTGATGCAAATGTCAATGGGATTGTTTTCTTAATTTCCTTTTGATATTTCATCCGTGTATAAAAATTAACCAGATTTCTGTATATTTTGTAGCATGTAAACTTTATTAAATTTGCTTATTTCTAACAGTTTTTTGGTGGAATCTGCAAGGTTTACTGGGTGCAAAGTGACACTGTCCATAGTGATTTATTTTTCTCATCTATTTGCTCTAACTAGATCTACTAATAGTATGTTGAGTAAAAGTGGTGATAATGGGTATTCTTACCTTATTTCTAACCTTTGAGTAAAGGCATTCAGTTTTTCATCCTTGAGTAAAATATTAGTTGTGAGTTTGTATAATGTGAAGGTTGTTCCTTCTAGATCTATTTTGAATTTTTATCATAAATAGATGCTGAAGCTTGTCAAATGCTTTCTCTGCTTCTATTGATGGGATCATACAGTATTTTCATCCTCTTATGATTTTGTGGTGGATCATGTTCTTTGATTTGTGTATGCTGAAACATCCTTGAACGCCTGGAATAAATCCCACTTGATGATGATACATGATAATGCGAGTGTGTTGGTGAATTCTGGTTACTAATAACTTGGTGAGCATTTTTGCATCTATGTTGATCAGGAATACTGGCTTACATATAAATTTTTGTGGTGCTCATGTCTACGTATGTTGTCAGGGGGACATTGACCTCCTAATGATGTTGGCAATGTTCCCTTCACTTCAGTTTTTTGGAAGACAAGTTTTTTAATTTGAAAAGAATAAGTAATATATTAAAACATTTTAATATTTTGAAGAAAATATAAGTTAAACAATTTGTACTAAAGACTGTGACAAGACTAACCACAAAATGTGTTTTGGGGCTGCCTATAAAAGTGTCTAAGAAGATGAATGATAGAACAAATATATATTGTAGCTTAAACAATTTAGTTTCTATTAAGTTCAGATTGAATTACGATATTTTAAAAAATGAATCACTTGAGAATCATTTGTAACTAAAACTGACATTTTGAAGTTATTGATAACTATTTCTGAAGAGTACATTAACAACAAACAGTTTTGGAGCAACTTGTTCTATGTAATTTTATATTCAGCAGAAAAAATTATATGAATTATTGAAATACCTTCATATACAACATTAGATTTTTTTAAAATATACTTTGTTTAAATATTCAAATATTTTAACAAAGGGCATCTATTGCATATGATTACATTTCTTCCCTTTTTAAAAAAATTACCTTAAATATTTGATTCAGAAAACTTGTTAGCAGGCCTTAACTTTGGGACAACTCAGTGATCACTGAGATAACACAGTTGTATGTGTGTTCTTGCCAAATTCACTACACTGGCCTGAGAGAAAGGAGAAGATACTGTTGGGAGCTTGTCCCTAGTAAAGATGGAACATCCCCATCAAGGGCACTGAGCTGTGTCAGATGGTTTACTGGGTTGGCCTTTTATCTGCTAATTCAAACGAACAAACTGTTTGCTCAGAAACACAGAACTGTACCTCAAATTGCCCTTCAAATTAAAGGTCAATGCTATAGCTTTCATCTATAGTTGGCTAAAGAAATGTTATGAATTTAAAAACCCTCATTATAACCTCCAGTCCATCATTGAAGGGGTATTTATCAAGAAAATACAACAGAAAACAATCTGCTTCTTGGTTGGCACTTATTTCTGTCAACCACTTTACAGTTCTACAGTTCTATTTGCGCAGCTCAGTGCCAGTTCCTGGCAGTCAGGGAGAGGGGTGGCTGCTGAGCCACCCGCTTGGAGGCTTTCCTTTTGCAGACATATAGTTTAGGGGGCTATCTTCCTCAGTTCCTGGGAGCCTATTATTTCATTCCACTGTGGCTACACCCAAGTTTACAGGGTGTTTCATGGCCACCTGGTGTGACTGAACTATAGGGTTGAATTTCAGCTTTGCTTTTTTTTTTTTTTTTTTAATTTATTTATTTGTGCATAAAGAACTGGGGTATAGGCCAGAGGCTCAGGGGCGGTGAGAGGCTTCACCAGAGACAGAATGGGGAACAGAACAGGCAGATCAAATGAAGTACACTGCTGAGGGGAGCAGTGGGCGGGTCAGAAGAGGTCTGCTGCGCCATGTGGTCACCTCCAGGGCAGGCGGGAATCGCACTCATGTGAAAACGGCTTTAGATTCTCAATGCTGTGCTTTAACCCGCTGCGCCACCAGGGAGGGCCCTCAACTTTGCTTTTTAAAAGCCCACCTCTTTGCAAAAGCATGTTCAGGCGCCAATAAAATTATTTTCGTGCTGTTAGGGCTACTGTACACTTAAATGTGTAAATGCCTTTCACCATTTCTAAGATTTGTTTATAAGAAAAATGGGATTTGCAGCTGAAGGGCAAATGGACACTTCAGTGATAAATACAAGAACAACTTACTCCCATGTTGGTTGTGAAAACATTGGGGAACACAATGTCTATAAATAAGGGCTGGTTCACAGTTCTAATTAAACTTTATTAAGTTAGAGCTGAAAGGAGGCGGTATCAACAAGGAAATAAAAAGTCTTGGACCTACTAAACTAGCTCCATGTAACAGCTTTTTAACTGAAAGTAAAAGAGCAGCAGCAATGATCAAACACAGATGCTTAGATTGATTGCAAATCCACATCCTATATCCAGCTAATATATACTAATGACAAAAAAATAAGAGATCATTTTCACTTGGAGTGAATAACTTTATTTTTTGACTATAGAATTAACAGGTGCTTCAAGTGAGATAAAATTGCAGTATCTGCATAGGAAAACTTAAAGCAGTTAATGATTGTCAGATTAAAGAAAATACAATTTCAACTTTGTGCACAGAAACTTTAAAGAATTTTGGAAGTTTAAAATGGCAATTGAGTCATAATCACTACAGGAACAATGTTCACTTGACTAAGTTTCAGCAACATGGTAATACTGTATAGCTCTACTTCATACAAAAAAATGCCCATGCATTGGGCCAAGAGATAGATACATTCCTAGTATATCATTTTTGGAAATGTACTCAATTGCCCTTTAACTTCTGCAGGGTCTAATTAACATGAACTCAGTAACAAAGAACTTAAAACCACCTCCTCAAATATCTGATAGATTCAGGTTTTTGTTTTCGATGCGTAAGCCTGTATATCTCAGTTGAGGAGACATGGGGCCTATATAAATAACACACATGGTTATGAGAAGCAAGACTTCAGGTTGATGATTTAGCATTCATTAATTTTGAGTATGTTAAAGTAGAAATTACAATTAGTGGCAAAGATATTTTCTTAAGGACATATTGCTGAACAGTCACCTACCTGCTTCTGAAAGCATTATGTATAATTTAACCACCAAATATAGAACCTGTGAATACCAGGAGACCCCAAAAAAGGCATTAAAGTCCATTACAAACTTGAATAAGCTGAAACCTCAAGCACATAGAGAAAGTATTGCAATCATATATTTAGCTTTGCATTATTTTTCTAATATATACCATAATTTAATTCTATATAAAGTCACTCATATAAAAAGCAATTTTTTCAAGTGTTATAGCTTAGAGCATAGCTTTATATTTGGCTTAATCATTTTTTTTACCAGTTTAATTTATAAAGCTCGTAATCTTGCCAGCAGGGCTTCAACTTCAGGAACGGATTCATTTTTAGAAACCGAGCCAAGACGTTCCATTTCCTTTTTTCTGTTGCTTTCTATGTTACAGGCTTCCTTCTTCTCAACTGCCTTGATCCTCCCTGTAGACGTATGAGTGTCTAGATTATAATTAAGTTCCTTGGCGACTGGAGTTCTTGTTGAGTTGCAATTGATATTGCAGTGTGAACGTGACCCTTCTGTCAGAGGCACTTTTTGATTTTCTACAGTAAGGAAACATAAAAACTTATCACTGTGATAAGCAAGAACTGTGTACAATATGAAGCATAAGCTTAGAATAATTATCTTCAATAAACAAGTCCTTTAGCCTGACTAAACTAAAATTATTCACCAGAGTGTGATTTAAATATGCAGAGGTTAAGAAAAAGTAAACCACAATATACAGTAATTTCAATGGCATTAATGCTTCTTCCTGTCTGCTTGAAACATCAATCTCTGTTATTCTGTTCAGGTCTGTGTGCTCAGATGCTATTTTAGTAGAGGTCTTCTTTGAAGTCATCTTCTTTGAAATATACTTACCCTTTTTTACTCCATCTCTTCCCGCCCACCCTGCCCCAGTCTTTGTTCTATAGGGCACATCATATAATTGCTTACTTGTCATCACCTAGCTCTTCACTGGAAGGTAAGCCCTGAGAAAGCTGGGACATAACTTTGAATACTGCTGCATCATAGGTAGTGGCCTTGTTGCACAACAGATGCTCAATGAATGTGCATGGGGGGTAAAGGAACCATTTTCACACTTTCACTCAAGACAAGCATTAGAGTGAATACCCTTTTTGAACAAAACCAAGGAGGAAAGCTTGCAATAGGAATTTAATAATTCAATGATTTCCCTTAAAATAATATTGAATTTGGCAGGGAAATTATAGAATTCCTAGCAGATTAGAATTCTATAATTTAGCTGTCAAATAGACATGTACACACACCTGCTTTCATTTGGGACACTGATCCTGAGACTGTAAGGAGAAAGTTGTCATCACTAATAACTAAAGGGCTTGGCTGATGGACTTTTCAGAGAACACTGAATTTTCTTAATCGACTCGTACGTCATACAATCGTGTGGGTGTTCCTTCTTACAGATCTCTTAACTTTTTGAAACCAGACACCCTCAGTATTCATGTAACCTTGAACAGAGCTTCCACAAACTTGACATGACATTTAAAGTTTTTTGGTTATTCGCTGAGAGATGTTCCATTATCCCAGTAGTAATGACTTTGGAGCACAAGCAGTCACTCATGACAGTGTGTTTTATATGAGTGCTGAAAATTCCAACCGAAAACAGCTTGTACATTAAAAGGTGGCTGCTGAAGATATTTACTGCACTGTCATTTCCTGACCAGGGGCTTCCAGTGATGGATGAGTATTTTACACACTTTCTTGGACAATCTCAACAAATTTTAGAAGTATGATCACCTTTTAGCTGTTGGAAGAAAATACACTTTTCCTATCACCTCTCTCAGGTGGGCCATTGTTACTCAAAAATCAAAATCTACCAGCAGTGATTTTTCTCTTAAGCAGTTTATAATGTATATATTGTACTACAGTAATGAGCAGAGTGGACATGGTTTTCCCCTGACTGCATATCTGTTTTCCTTTGCCGGCCCCCTCCTGCCCCCAAGGGTGTCTGAAAATGGCATTTGTAGCTAAGTACAACCTTCTGGCTACCTTACCAATCCTTCTCTGAGATGTTCCTACCTTGTCATTGGATTTCTTATAAACTGTATTCTATTGGGCAAATCAACTTAGATGTTTCATGGCACAGAAGAGATTAAGTTGGTTAAAACAGGTCTATAATGTTTGTAAGTAATTCTGACGTACATTCTATAGCAATAATGTATTGAGCCCAATTCTACAGGTGGCAGTGAAGAGTAAGGTAAATCTGGATTGAAATCCAACTTCCACCAGTTAGCTTTACCTGGTTATTTAATCTCTCTGAGTCTGACAGGAGAGGAGTGGCTGTGAAACTTAAAGGCAACTCTGTAGGTGATGCCTATATTGAGACACTTGTCTTTTCTTCCTCTGTAAGCACTTTCTAAGGTGGTCACTTGCCATCCAAGTCTGAGGCTATTCATGATGCTCTGACCTTTCTGACTTTGTGATGACCTTACCAGCGAGGGCTGAAATACCGTTTTATTAATAGCTTGTATTTATATAGCACCTTTATCTATAAAGCATTTGTTGCACTTTAAACATTACCACCCTCATTTTATAGACTTGAGAGGTAAAAGCAAAAGGAGGTTAAGTCATTTGTTGATACTTGGGGACTCAGTAAATCACTGGCAGAAGCCAATTGCTGTCTCCGGAGATACAGAGGCTGTCTGGAATTGAAAAGCTTTTTGCTAAGGAAAAGTGCTAAGTATCCAAAATCTAAGTTTTATCTTATCTGCAAAATACTTTCTGACACATTGAATTCTCTCACCTAATAACTTGTAAAGCCACTCGTATACCTATGTAAACTACCTTAGCATTGCTTTTCTTTTGTTATCTCACTTAAATTTAATACTAAGAAGTTAAGGGCAACCTGAACTCCACGAGTTTCCTAGTGCATCCATTCTCCTAGACAGAAGGGTACTTCATACCCTCACCTCTCAAACAGCCAACGTGGTCTTCCTTGCTCTCATTTGATTCATAGAAGCAACCAGAAGAGACTTGCCCTAGGCGCCCTCTCTACACCTACCAGTCACAGAGGTCCTACACTCCATCTGCGTGCCATGCTGCAAGATGGGCACCACATACTACTCATTTACTTAAGAACACCCTACCCTCCCTTAAACACCCTTGCTGTGTAAAGTGTAAAAAATGCTTTCTAGATAAAAAGTGCTATTAATAAAACGGCATTTCAGCCCTCGCTGGTAAGGTCATCACAAAGTAAGAAAGGTCAGAGCATCTGAATAGCCTCAGACTTGGAGGGCAAGTGACCACCTTAGAAAGCATTTACAGAGAAAGGAAAAGACAAGCGTCTCAATATAGGTGTCACCTACAGAGTAACCTTTAAGTCTCACAGCTACTCCTCAACTGTGCCCTCTCCCCGCATTGAAAAGGCTTCCTTCCTTAAGGCAGTATTCCGCTCTGCACACAAACATACAGTGATATCCACCTTAATAACAACAACAACAACAAAAACCCTCTATTTGACTACTTCCTGCTCCATCTACTACCTCAATTGTTGACTCCCTTTATAGCAAAGTATCTCAAAAGAATTGCCCATATTTATTGTCGCAATTCCTCTCATCTCATTTTTCTCTTAAACCCGCCCAATCATGCTTTTGACCCTTCACTCTTCTGAAACAGCTTCTGTCAAGGTCACTAATAAGCTGTGTGTTGCTGAAAACAAGGATTGCATTCCACGGCAATTTCAGTCCTCCTTATTCAACTTATATCCAAGGATGAAATGCTTGCAGAGTCTGAGTTTCTCTTTTAGTGTTTGCTCTTTGAACTTCTTTGGAGGCTTGGGGGGATTGCAGTGGGTGGACTAATATAGGCAGGGGCATTTCTACCTTGTTGAGAAGCCCCCACACAGCTGTGGGTTGTTACTTAACTCCTCTGTAGTTTTGGGTGGAGAAATTTTTGTAAGAAGTAATAGGTAAGACATATGAAAGGTGTCATTCCTGAGACCACTGAAGAAGTAAAATAATAGTAATAATAATAATAAGGGTTTCTTTCATAAGCTTAAACACCATTAGAAATTTGTAGGTAAGGCTTTTTTACTCTGACCCTCACGATCCTGTCAGCATCTCATTAGCCTCGACTAGACCCTTAGTGTCTTTTCTGCTTTGTCTCTGGCCCTAGTGTAGATACCCACACAGAAAATGAGGCAGTCGCAGCCTAAATTGTGAAGCAGATAAATGAAGTTGGCTTGGACAAGTCTCCTATCCTAGAATTATGGGATATTTAGAGAAAACAACTGCATGTAGAAGCTCCTAAATTGGTAGTTGACTTTTAGGTAGAAATCTTAATATGTTGGTCCCAGGTGGGGGTCTTTTGCCATTATTTTAAAAATCTGTTACTGGTGGCTTCATATGGGGCTGAATTGGAGACTCAAATTCCACACAGTACATTTAAAGCATACATTTACTTGCAAAAGTGGTTCATTTCTTAACTCTGTAAGGTGGAGAATACCAGTAGAGGAGCTCAGGCTTTTCTTATGAAATGGACCAAACACAAGATGACACACTGGGACATATGGTCTCGCAATGCAAGATAATGCCGGGCGTCAATAGAAAAGCACTTGCTATTTTCCCTCAACTCAAATCTTTAACCAACACACATTTTAAAATGGAAACTAAAAGTATTAAGGCAAAATAAATAAATAAATGCTTGATTTGCCACAGAGAGGAAGCTTGTGCTTATTCTGTGAATTGAATCCAGGTGAAGTCCCCTCTTTAAGACATTCTAATTGATGTCTGTGAGAAGTATGATCTCTGTAGGGTAATTGGCAAGATTCCTGGGCCACTGGTGATTGTAGCACAGACGGTCAAAAACCAGCTGCTATTTTTAGTACCAGGTCAGTGAGGGAATTTAATCCACACGTCTTTGTTTCTGTAGAAATGCTTGGTGAAAATACATGCTATTTTTTTTAATGACAGGAAAATTCATTTATTTGAATTCCTTATATGATTTTCATTCTAAGATTCAAACATCCCACCATAGCATTTAAATTTTTTTTTTTAACTGAAAAGTTGAATGGCTCTCAAATGCAGAGAATCCACTGTACTTAGAAATGAGAATAAAAACCTAGAGATAAACCAGGGTTATTTATATTCCACATGACCTTTGGTAGAGTGCAGACTTGGCTGACAAAGCAAGCGGAAAAACAAAACACCATCATCCTGAGCTAACATTTCCATTGTTTCTTGAGTACCACAAAGAACACAGGAAATCAGGAAAGTTGCTGACAAAAAGGTAAATATAAATACTTACAACTTGGCATTCAAATGAAGCAACTATTTCAGTCACCAGTTGCTCAGCTTCTTCGACTCAACAGGCAAAGCATAGGCCCTGGCAGATGCTCTTGGGAAAACCCTCTTTGCCACAGGAAATGCCAGTTATGGTTCAGAAAGAGACATTATTCCTTTAAGTCACTATTGATTCCCCCATCACATTGTGGTTCTAATGGTCACTGGCTTCTTAGAAGTGCCAACTCTCAAATGAAATATAAAATTGAGCCCCAGCCTTTGTGGTCAATGGTGAGCCTGTGGCAGCT